CCAATTCCATTGGATCTGGCACCTTATATCCTACAATCAACTTATTGGGCGTACATGAAGCACTACCGTGATCTCCACATAGTCTACTTAGCAACTAGTTACACGCATGGACACAGTTACCCCGAAATCCGGATGTAAAGCTGAAGTCATGTATACCTTCTTTGACCCTACTGATTAGCATACACATTACTAGACATGTAATTTGTCCGATTGTACGCTATTTTGATTAGAATAAACGCAATTTTTGTCAACTGGTAGCAGCGTGTGGACCTGGACTACAGCATAGCCGCCCTAGTATACTTTGAGGTGAACTTTGACTCTCCTCGGTTTTATCGTATCGTAGTCTGACTTATAATTCCTCGCTGGTCACCTCATATCACTTGATCGGTCTTGTACCTTGAACTCGAGGCCACATTCTCATCCGCGTACCTTACGCATTCGATACTATCACCTTGGACTGCACACATAATATCCTTACCTCTGATAATACCCCGGTTGTACCGTTTTATCAGTCCGCAGAAGGAGATACAGAATGAATGCGGAACGCTTTGGGCTTGAACCTCTAACATCGCGTGTACCACTTTCGTTTCACGTACCTCCTTCGTTTCATGTACCTCTCCGTCTTCAATACTCCATGTAATTCAAAGTCCTCAACAACAAGCAAAAAATTTTTGACATTACCCCGATTCATTCACGTGTGTATTGTCGTAGTACTTACTATCTATCACCTTTATCTAGTTTCCGTTCTCTCTCTCTAACGCAAGTGAAAGAAATGGAGTGGTTTCTGAGATCAGTTACGTTGGCGCTTTAGGAGGCGAACGTCATCCCATCCTAGTAGACGCAGGTGGAGCTGAGAATGGTTCTGGAGCGAAGAGAAGAGGGAAGAGAAATTGGTGGGCCACTGCTAAAGAATTGGCTCGTGTTACAAAAGCTTTTTGATCAATGGTGGTGTCATGTCTGATGCAGAACTGCGAGCTTCGAAAGACGTCGAAAACTTAGAAGTTCTTCAGTCTCGGCACCATTGACTTCTGCTCACTACGCATAGTATTACATTACTTTGACTAGCTCAAGATTTCTCGCATAGCTTAGCTTACTCACTAAAGTTCCGAAGTCCCTGGTGCTTCGAGCTCGTGAGTTTGATCATCCGCCTTCAGAATGATTTTATGTACAGTCTACCCACAGAAACACGATTTACATACCGCGCAGTGTTCTCTCAACCAAAGGCCGTCATCTCTCGAGGTGGATCCTTTTTGTCCATCCGAACAAATCCTGGCTCAACAGACTCCGAGTCCCAATCAGCCATGCCTATGAAACGAAACGAAGCGTCTGCCTCTCGGACCCTTGCCTCTCAACCTCCTGCGAAGAAGCGTGCACGAGAAGGTTTATCTGAAGCAGATACTGTAGTACACATGGATGGACCAGCTGATGTGCGAAAGAAACGACGGAAGGTATCAATGTTGATTTGTGTAAAAAAGGCAATGTGCTATGATGATACTTCTAAGCGTTGAATGCATATGTCGTTCATGACACACAGTATACCACCACAGGTTGCTGCATCTGACTTTCTTCCTCGACTTTGGTATCAGAGTCAACCAAGCAGTAGCATATGTGATGATCATAACGGGACAGTACTCGCATTGAAAGATCTCAAAATATTTTGCAGATTATAATGGACCTGGCTACTCCTTCTGCCCCACAAGGTGACCTTGCAGTAATCGTTTGTACTCGTGAGCTGGATTATACTTGTGAGCTGATTTAGATGGCCGAATCATTCCCAGAAGAAAAGTTTGGGAGGTTTATCTAGGACAAGTATCGTAGAAGTACTGCACTAGGGCACTTATAGTCAGATCATCTATTTGTTGGATATGTGACTCGAACCAGACCTAATTAAAAAGGCTATCCATCCGACAACTGGCACAACTTCGAGTCACATCGGAATAAATGACTCTTTCAAAAACCTATGATACTTAAGGCTTTGGGGCGGGATAAAAAGACGGCAATGCATCAAAAGCGGCACTTGAAGCTTTGACCTCTAGCAATTCTTCTTTCAAAGAATCCTCTGCATATTTCATCCAGTCCGAAGTGTGCCAAACTCCATGCCTAACGATTTTTTCGCGAAGGTGAAAAAGAGGGACCGCCATATCGAGGCCAATAAGGCCAACCTCCTGTGCAGAAATCGAGACCTCTCTGAAGGCAAATTGTTGGACCGCGGCGTTGAACCAATGAAACACCTTGAACTCTCTCCCCAGGTTAATTTTGTCTACGACAGTGAAGTGGCCAGCTTGTTCGATAGCATTTATGGCTCGTTGTCGCACGTCGTGGAAACCCCACATGTTGGCAAGCTTGAGCGCGGACCCCCATTCTTTCCTTGACAAGATCGAGTCTCGATGCACCTCCTTACTGTTTGATGAATGAGATCAGTTTGAGACAAAAGAGAGGGAAAACAATCAAATCAGGTCATACTGACATCAGTGCTCGCAGAAATGCCTTAAAATCAATCATTGAGATTCCTTCCAAATGAAATGGGGAGTGGTCCCATGACCCTTCCGTTTTAGCGCCTTCGACGGTGGGGAGAGCGAAGGTATCAGAGAAAACCTCTGACATGTTGGCGAAATAATATCGTGGTACACTGAAGAGATGTCCTTCGACCTAGGAACGAGGGAATGAGACGCTTTGCTCAATAGATCCACTGATAACCCCGCAGTGTCACGCCCTACCAGAAACACAACGTTTGTGAGGTAATACTCATCGTCCTTGGGATGCTGCTGAGATTCATCAGACATTAGAAAAGGAAAAGAACGTTAGTGGGGAGTTCTTGAAGGAATAGCATATGTAAGTAAACGTGATAAGCGCGGGAATAAGTCGGTGATAACTCAGTGATAATCGATATCCGTTGTAAGGTGACGATATGTCCATAATTAGTGTCGTGTGCGAAACTGCCAAAAGCATTCGCCAATGCGCCGGCGCGGGCGAAACTCTCGGCAAAAGCCAACCTGGCGAATGATGATTTACATAAAATCAGTAGAAAATCTTGTAAACTCTACATGTACTGCTGATCAACAATATCACCGTTGACATCTACTCATCAATACCCCATTCAGTGTAAGTATATCACAGAATGTACATTACTGATATTTGCAGTTTTTCGAACAAAGCTACTGTGGTCTATGGAGCGATCGACCACCATGTTTCCCCGTTTTCTACACAAAAGCTATCCGTTCACTCACTCAAATCACTCAACACTACAAACACAAGGGAACCAGCAGATATTAACTTCGCTATGGATCAATTTACAGGACATGTATGCTAAATTGTAGCTCTAGTCAGTAGCTGGGGCTCCTCGGACGGGCGCTTGAGTCAAGTCTGGAGCTGCGGCACCAGCCCCGGCCATGCTTGGATCGACAACGCCTGCCCGAAAGTCTGCGTTTCCCTGAGAATACGGACTTGGCGGAGTAATCGCAGCATCAGGATGCTGCGCGCCATTGCCATTGCCATTACCATGCTTCCCGCTCTTCCATCCCTTGCCTTTCCTGTGCTTCCTGTGTTTCCTGTGTTTTCTCCCCTTCCTCACTGAATGATCGACATGGCCATTGGGGTTGGCTTCGCCAGTTTGTTCCATGGCCCTCGCGGCGAGTTCTATGAACGCCTCGTCGCCTAGATCCCGAGCTACCAATGACACGATCTCCTCATACGCACCCAAGTCTCGGGCAGTCAAGTGCGCGCCAACTGGCTCTGTGTGACGATTGACGGCTTCGTAGTGATTCAGGGTAGAATGGTGCTTTCGGCTGTGGGCGTCGTGCACGTTGTGTCTGTCGTTTGGATGAATCGCGTGCGGAGATGTCGGGTACAGTGGCTTGCGTGGCCTGAACTCGGACGGCACTGGAGGTCTGTGGGCATGATCGAGCTGTTGAACAGGTCCGGCATCGCCATGGGTCGGATGATACTCGTCGGAATGGAGGGGGTGGCTGACGGCGGCGTCAAGGTGAGTAAGTAGTTGCAGATAACGCCAGAAATACATACGCGAGCGTGATTGCTGCCAAGGAGAGTGCTAGCAGTGCTGAGAAACGCATGATCGCAGAAGGGGAAGATTGGTGATGGCTGGGATGAGAGGTTCGTCAACGAACGAGTATACTGCGATAGAAGCGACATTGAGCACATTGGACAATATTCGAGCGGGAGAGGATGTACTTACGGGGGACACACTAGGCCAGCTAGGGGGTGTCTTTCTTTCGTCGATTGCCTGGTCCAATAAATATGTATCCAGAGGTGCCTGGGTCAGGGAGGATCACGAAAATCATTTGTTTCATTCCTACATACATTCTGATGTTTCGGGAGAGCCGAGTGATGGGAACACCGTGTCTGCCCTGTGGTGTGGGGGCAGTATGATTATTCTGACGGCTTTCCAGCAACTCGTGATGCATATTTCTGATAGCAAAGGAACCCATACACCTACGCCGTTAGGGTACAGCTGAGATTGTGGGAAGAACTGAGTGTTCTCAAGCTCTCCAGTGCTGACAATCGATCAATGGCTGCATGGAACTTCAAAGAACCCGCAACACCGTGTCTGCCCAGCTGTGTGGGGACAATATGATATTGCGTCTGATACCAGTGGGCTCCCATCATGATGCATTCTGTTCCAAGCCCACAAAAGAACCGAAAGTCAGCATTTCAGTGTATCAGCACTACGCATCTCCATAGCGATAATGATGCGAGGAATGTCCGAGGTTGGTATTGCTGGAACAAATGTGTTCACTGACATGCAAGCTACCCAGTACTGAGGTGTTATTGCGCCACACTTGGTGACTGTAAAACAATAACTCGGATTACCGTGACGAAGTATATAGAGGACTGGTACCTCATACCAATGATCGCATGATAAATTATGCTTCACAGAGTGTTTGAAAGAGGTTTACTGACGATGAACACAAAGTGCTACGGTCGGAGTTCACGTATCTAATGTGTGCCCTGCCAAGTGTCACTACGCTCAACCCGGGGATAAGGGCCGACTAGCTCAGCTGGTTAGAGCGTCGTGCTAATATCTTCAGGTCTCCTATAGTTATACGCGAAGGTCTTGGGTTCGATCCCCACGTTGGCCATGCATTTACCAAAACCTTTCTTTTCTGCTTTTTGAGTAGAAAAGAAAAGAAAAAGGAAAAGAAAAAGAAAAAGAAAAAGTCCTCCACGTTCCACGTTCCGTGTCCCAGTGTGATATTGAGGACATTGGAGATAGGTGAGAATTGACTGATGATATGTTATCCTATAATATACTCAATTGTGGTACCCTATGTCTCGTTCCTCTGCTCCGTTGTAGAAGTTTACGCCTCCTCAGAAAGAGATAGTGAGCGGTCGAAGAGTCTCCTTTAGCGTATATGAGTGACACAGAAGCAGAGGGTAAATTGGCTAGTAGTATTCGCCACCAGTGGAACGAGCTATCTTTTATAACAAGAACCGTCAGAGAGTTTGCTAGAGGACGGATGGAGGTTTGTTGATTTTGTAACGATGATGGGATCAAAGAAGTATGTCGGTCAAGAGTTATCTTATTCGATTTTCTAGAACACGGAGACCACTAGATAAGTCTTGTCATTGAGTCACCTTAGCATTTCCAGAGAAGATGATTCTAGCACATAAACAATCCAAGCAGCGAGAGACGGACCGACCAGAATACCCAAGCCACGAGAATTGAGGTCAACACAAGCAGAGGATAGCGTCAAGAATCTCTAGAGGTCTGCCAGAAACGAGTCGTTTTTAGAGGGGAAAAAAAAAGCTGCTCTATTCTTTGTACCGTAGTCCTTGTTATATCCGATGCTATTTAACATGAGGATCGCCGATTTCTCCCTGATTTTAAAGTAGACCAACAGTCGGTCTCATAATCCTCCATAGTCCCAAACCTTATTCCAGCTTGCTTTCGTCATTCAACCGATTTGTTGCCCCTTCCGACGTCATTTGGTTGTTACTTCTTTTCATCTTTCTTTCGACTTCTGTCCTGTCACCACGCCAATTTTCAGTCGACTCTTCTCAATCCATAGTCCACTCGCTTCAACCGTCCGTCTCCCTCATCCTTCAATTTCGTCCGTACTCGCCATTTTTACCCTTCCACCAACAATACGTTACCAGCACTCGTGTATACCAGACTCGTCTCATTTCCGTCTTCACATCCTTCGGCCCTACCACACCGGGCTGGGTTCGACAATCGATCATTGGCCTTTATAGTGCATAGTACAACAACATACACAGCCCGCCTAGGTCATCTCATTCCCAGCGTTCACCAAGTCCTATGCTGTCCCATCCAGAAACGAAATACAGTATAGTATACTTGACATGTTATCCCATACTCATACACTGTCATTTATTTTACTACATACTCTACTCTACGCTACGCTCTACCCAAATATCTTATCTGAATCTGTATACATACGTGAGTATCTATCATACAACGACCACACATCTCCAATTTTGAACATATGACGTACGTGGCGTAGCCATCAATCTCATTTCAGCTAGATATTCGGCTTATATCTCGGGTGTAGGTGTGGGTGTGGTGTGGTGTGGTGTGGACGTTTGTACTAGTACTTACTGACACTCACATGGGCCCGGAAGAGCACCTCGTATGCTCGCTCATTCAAGCCGGCAGGATGGAGTCGGGTAAGCAGGGCTGCACCTCTCTATCCGGGCCGCCGTCAGCGATGGACCATGACAGCGCGATTTGTACAGGCCGACTAGCTCAGCTGGTTAGAGCGTCGTGCTAATAAAATAAATCCCATTTATTACGCGAAGGTCTTGGGTTCGATCCCCACGTTGGCCATGAGTAGCCCCCACAATACGATGTCTTTTCTTCTTTCTTCTTCTTCTTCCTGATTCGATGGTCCTCCGTATCCTGTTCGATCCCCACGTTAGCCATGAAAATAAAAGATACTTGTATCCTTGTTATGTATTTTTCTTTCTTTTTTTTTTTTGATTTCTTCTTCCTGAATCAAATGTACTTCCGTTTTTGTTTACGCGCTCTGAACATTCAAGTGGCGTGGACGTCGATGGTGGTCATATACATACAACATACAACCACACAACCCTCGGACCGCAGGAATGTCCCATCCATTCAAGGCTGAGGCTAAGTCAAAGTGATAATGATAACTGCTTACGATCGATCGAACAGGGTTACGACTCTTGATAATGTGATAGCTGATAGCTTCTAACTAATCACCGCTCACCGCGGCGCACTGCAGCACCGCGAGTGCACACGACTCGGAACAAGTACATTACATACTCGAGTCGGAGCGTTGAGCGCTCTACGCTACTTTAGCGTAAGAAGTGAATCGGACGATAGGTTATATATACATGCTCGGGCTGTGCCAAGGCCAAGGCAGTCGCAGTCACTCATGTGATCCAAGCTCAAGCTCAGAGCATCCGACGGGAAGCGTGGTACGTTATGTTTATGTTATGTTATGTTATGTTATATATGTTATGGGTGATGGTGATGGTTATGTTATGTTATACGAGATATCGGATGTAGGAGGGGGTATCGTAAGAGTAGACGTAAAAGTAAAAGTGAAAGTAAATGAAGATGAGGAATAGTAGACTCGCGAGGAGGGAGAGGCGGTGTGCGAATGTAGATAGGCGTGAAGGGACAGGGGAGCGCGATACGAAAAGACAGCCTCCTACGAAACAACGACGACATCCCTCTGTTTCCCGGCAACGGTCGTATCGACCTCGACCTCCATCTCCACATTGACCTCTCCAAGCTCGCTGACGCCCGCGCCCGCGCCCGCGTCCTCGACGTCGGTCCCACGCAGCTCCGCACACTCCTCCTCGATCACAGCGTGGGTGTGGGACAACGACAAAGGCAAGGGCGCGGGGGCGGGTGTGGTTTCGTCGACGTATGCGGGCGCGGCGTGGGCGTCGACGGGCTCGGGCTCGTCGTCGGATTCGCGGGCGTCGGGCTCGGCAGAGTCGTCGTTCTCGTGCTCGGGATGCTCACTGTCATTCTCAGCCTGTTCGGCCTCGGCCTCGGCTTCGGCTTCAGCCTCGACCTCGACGTCCTCCTCGAGATCGGCATACGTCCTGCAGAGCGGACACGAGAACGCAGGATGGTGGGTCTCGAGGAGGGGCCGGATGCACTTGTAGTGGAAGGTGTGGGAGCAGGGGGCGATGAAGAGGGCCTGGCGGATGGTGACGCTGAAGAGGCAGATGCAGCAGTCGGGGATTTGGGTCTTGGGGGCTGTGGGAGGCGCTGCCTGGAGGGTCTTGAGGACGTTGAGCGTGTTTGTGCTGGCGCAGTGTCAGCGTCAGTGTCAGTAGACAGACAAGCACGCACTTGAACGCATTCGCCGCAGCCTGCCACTCGCGGCCCAGCTCGATCCTGATCTTCACGCTCTTGTAGATGTCCTCGGTCCCGCCCTGGTAGTCGACGCCAAGCTGGAGAATGTCGCCGTCCCTCATCTGGAACGGCCTGCTCTCGGTGTTGGCAGGGCTGAGGCGGACGTGGTTGAGGAAGGTGCCGCTGGAGGACTTGGTGTCCCTGATGAAGAAGCGGCCAGAGGAGTCGACCCAGATCTCGGCGTGGGCGCGCGAGACGACCTTGCTCTTGAAGGCGAGGCGGTTGGTGCCCAGGGCGTTGACGGCGGCGAGGCCGAGGCCCGTGCGGTCGGTGAAGCGGCCGATGCGGAGGGCGGGGGACGCGGGCGAGAGGTCGCGGGCGATGGCGTCGAAGCGCAGCGTGCGGCGCGAGTCGATGTGCGGGACGAGGCGGATGCGGTGCGCGGCCGCCGCGGGCAGTGTCCCTCCAGAGCGCCGCCGCCGCAGCATCGAACCCGGCGACGTCGACACTGCCCGCACGTTGTCCACCGACTGCCGCGGCCGTCCACGCAGAATCGAGCTCAGAATCGTCGGCCGCGTGTCGTCCATCGTCGTTCTGGTCAACCTGTGTTTCCACGAGGCTCCAGTCCGTCTCCCACGGATACCGCTGGCAAAAATACACTCCTGGCCAACGTGGGGATCGAACCCAAGACCTTCGCGTAGGGTCATCTCAGTAGTGCAATAGCCCATATTAGCACGACGCTCTAACCAACTGAGCTAGTCGGCCGATAATGAGAGACAAATAGTGAAAGTCTAGGAAATAGGGATACATGGTCCCATTCTTTCTTTGTGAGATCACTCAACTTAAAATGCTTCTCTCATCACCAGCTATTGTATGGAGAAATTGTTCAATGAATTAAGAGTGGGAGTACATCAATCCAATGTGAGCCTGATCCAGCATTACATATGTGAATGACCACCAACTGGGCATATCACTCAGAAGTTGATGTGGGTACTGATCTGCCTTTGTTCAAAGGTCAAGAAACAATTGTTTTTATTCATGAGATCTTAAGTTACAATACAATAACAGAGAAAAATAATCTACTTTGATTGTGATGACTCATTCACTTGGCAGGCCCCACATCATTTTTAGCTGCAAAAAGCTAAAGCTCATCAAATTGATCCTCCCATTATGCAATAAGGTCTCAGCTGATCTAAGATCAGATTGATAGTGAAACTTACTGAGCACAATGTTGACAACCATCAAATGATTTTTTAGTGAGTAGTGAGTGGCTCAACATGTCTAGCAAAGTGGCTGGCACATCATATATTGTATGATTGTTAATACTTGTATTATTATTGCAGGTTATTCATCCAATCTATAATGGATGTGAGTTGGAGACAACAAAAGAAAAATTCAAACCAACCTTGTGTGCAATTCCCAGCCAGCAGCCAACTTTGAACAATGCCTTTCCAAGACACTTTCCATTATGAGCATGATTCAAACAAGAGATGTATGTGTTGCTCACTTGCCAGGCTTCTCCTTCTCTATCCATTAATATTTGATGCTTGCCATGCATCACACATGAAATTGACAACACCTTTGACTGCAGGACTCTAGATTGATATGAGTAGCACAAACCAATGGGGAAAGGACAAAATTGACATTCAATGATGCTTGAAGATTGCTTCTTGAACAAGCTCATGATCTCTTTGCAACTTTGGTGATGGCCTGGTATTGTTATACCATGTTTAGCTTGTGATACAACATGGACCATCTTATAGAACATAAGATGTACAAGTGCTCCAATTGGCTGTGAAGATGCAATAAATAAGGTAACATTTCAAGAAGTTATGCATACCTGATGTGTGGCAACAAACCAATGCACAGCAACTATATGAAATAAACCATCACTGTGTCATATCTCTTCCTTGTGTTTTTTCTCTTTCAATTTGTGACTGTTTATCTGTCTTGGCCTTGTCCTTGTCCTTACATGTCTCAACATCCTTGGGAAGCCTAGATTTCAAGTTATTCTTATCACACCAGTCCTAGTATGCTCCCTATCCCTCCATGAGATTGAATTTATTTTAATAGATAAGATTTTGAGATATACCTCATGGGCAGAGTGTAAATGGTATTGAAGGGTCAAGACATTGGACACAAGCATAACAGGACACTTATGCTTCTTACTGTACAAGGTATTTAGTAAGCTCCCTTCACTTCCCACCTCTCTTTGTCTCATCTTCACTATTGCACCTCTCTTTGTTTTTTGCCTCCCTTCACTTCCCACCTCCCTTTGTCCCATTCTCACTATTGTACCTCCCTTCATTTCATCCTCACTTAGGGGTTAGTATGTGTTAGTGTTAGTATTTTTCCACCTCACTTAGGTTTTGTGCAGCAGATTCATGGCAAGCCAAACATTCTCTCAACCTGGTCTCCTGAGCTTGCTCCAGACTCCCATTTATTTTCTTGGAATCAATTCAAGGAAGATATTACTATTGCATCCTACAATTTTTCTGAGCCTTGTTTCTAAACAGGCAAATAGAAGAAATCAACCACCAAAAAGGCAAAACTGGAGTGGGAAAAAGAAAAGAAAGTACCAAGAAAAAGAAACAACTAGAACATCAAACAAAAAGAACTCTTTAGTCCCACAGTTTCTCTGACTGCAAAAACACAGAGCCATGCAGCACTAAACTTTTTCTTTATCTTTGTGCACTCACTGCAAATTTTGCCCTGGCTGTCATCAAAAGTGGCCCTCAATATATGCTAAACTTGTCCATCCATACTTGAACAATCTAAGCTGCAAGTGGCCAGGGACAAACAATAAAATTCTTGGATTTATTTAGCATTCAATTAATACAGTCAGAGTCTCCTTGCATCCCCTTCAATGTTTCATCCTTAGCAGCAAGTCTTTCCCATCTGTCTGGAGGTTTCCATTGATTTTTCAACTTGAGTAACTGCTTTTTAGTCAGAGCCTTAGTAAAAGAACAACCCTGATTGATGGCCTGCCTAGCAGTCTTCACATCAAATCCTCTCTATTCAAGCATTGCAATCTTTGGGGCCTTGGTCCTAGTAAGAGCAGGCACAATCTGAGTTGCATGGGAAGATGTAGTTCTATTCTCAATTGACCACAACTTATAGTACTTTAAGTTAGTGTCAATTTGTACATGCTCTTTGATAACAATCCAAGGTGCTTTCCTGGAATTTTTTGGAAGGCACTGGCAATGTGAGAGTAGAGTGACCAGGCATGAGTGGAGGTGGCAAATATCAGCCACTTGTAAGCCTTTGCATATTTTACCATATTTGGACAAGTATCTGAGTCCTTCTTCTACAGCCTGCACTCAGAACCCACTCAGCATACTAGCACCATCAGGGAAATACAGAGAGCATTGATCACTGAATTTACTGTGTATCTTTCCAGGTATGTGCCTGTTCAAGCCAGCATTGCATGTGAGAAATCTGGAATCTTAGACTTATTCAACAACTGCATCAATTGTTCAAGCTTTCAATGC